GCGTCGATGCTAGTAACGTAGAGTACGTGGTATCTAGAGATAGCATTATTTACAAGGTCTAGGGCTGCACGATGTAAAGGTCACCGCGCTTGTTAATAATACCTTTAGGAGTCACTTGTCGAATGTTTGTGCTGAACGTGATTCAGTCTAAGGAGTGGCCGCATGTTCGCATGAATGTCATTTAGTTAGTAGTTTTGTCACGTTCAATTAAATTCATTTTGGTTTGTTTAATAGAGTTCGTTCAATTTGTCGTTTTTTTGTTTCATTAAACGAACTAGTTAGTATTTTCAATGGTTAAACTCATACAACTTTGCATGTAAAAGAAACATTAATTGTAAGTTAAATAACTTTTCATTAGAGATCGGTTTCTATTGCGCTCAAATACAATCTTTAAGTGGATTTCTCAACATGGCTTCCCTGCTACGTCCAATGGGAGGTTCGGGCTTAAAGCCGCCGCCTGCTTGTTCTTGTAGAAACTTCATAGCATTAGAAGAAACATTTTCTCGTAATAATTAAATTTGTTTTGAAACATTTTGTCTGTTTGATTTTTTAGTTTTCTACGAAACATTTTAAGGATTTATATTAAAGCTTTTCAGTGAAGCTGTTTATTAGTAAATTACTAAATAAAACTAAGTGTAACAGGAGCCGTCTCGTTGACAACGTCAAAGTTCTTTCGACCCCTGCTCTATTGTAAGAGGCTTTGTGTACATACCGTTTATACCTACATAACAGATACTATACAACCGCTGTACTGCTTCAAAATTGCGTGGTGTGAGCGAACACGATGAAAATCTTTATTTTCACGCTATATCTCTCTTTATCTAATCGCTCCGGTCAGATAAAGACAGAACGCCGGAAAAACTGGCGCGGGGTGAGGGGTAAAGGCTACATCGATTCCGCGCTTTCACTGCTAGGGGCCGTGTAAACCTTTAAAAACAGTACTGCCGGTCGATTGTGATCTGTAATGCCATCGGATAAGAAGGAAATTTCAATGCGCAAAGATCGCTGGTAAATGGATTGCCTCCCCCTTGGGGGTTCTCATAGTGGGATCTAGATGGCGTAGATATGCTGATATGCGTCGTTGTGTGTGTGTGTGTGCTATAATGTTACTGTGCAATGTTTGTATGTGTCAGCGAATAGGTGTATTTTCCGACTACGAAGTTATAACTGGCATGTAGAGTATAGAGCGACGCTACCGATGGGTTGAATTTAGCTTGTGTTTGCAAATATATGAGGGGTTGTAGGTAACCATCCCTTTTTGTAATATAATTTTATGTTTGAGTGTAGATAGGTGGATAGATTAGGGAAGACGGAGGCTGTGATTTGATTTGATTAGGAGGTGTTTGCATTAGGGTCGGGAGAGATAAGGCTGATTGGATCGCGTGGAGGTTGGGAGGGCTCGTACTTTATGGAAATATGTTTTTAATGCGGGTGGCTTATTGAATTAGTCAACTTTGTGTGCCTTGAAGTGAGATTAATCCATTTAAGCTTGTTTTGAATATAAACAGTTTGCATTAGTAAATTTTACCAACATTCATTACGTTTTATTATATATTATAGTACCAACAAGGTTGAATTAACTGTGGTTATTATACCTAGTCAGGTCATAAGTATTGTCACACAGTAAAAACTTTTCTTTTAGAATGCTGGCCACAAAAAAGTTTATTGAATTCGAATTTGATAAATGGTTACATAATGAATAAACTTGTTTCAATTATTTTATATTAAACATGTGATAGAATTTATGACCTGACTAGGTAGTTTAACCCGTGTTTTCGTATACTTTTTCGCGTCCATTTTTCGTCTTTTTTGTAGGTTTTGCGCTTTTGTCAATAGCATTAGCATTATTAATAGATTTAGAACAACTTTGAAAGCGAATTATAGAAGAAAGCCCCTAAACTGTCCACTTCTATGGACAACATTATGCGCTATTATCATCGCTAAACTTCGTCCAATCTCACAACAAAAGGGTCGTTTTTGTTCCTGTCAAAACACAAAAGGAACTCTTGATGTTGTCACAGCGCCTGTTCTTTTGAGTTTACACTACACTGAAAATTAAAGTACTACGATAACAATATGTACTGAATTTGTCTATTTGTTTGTGTATTTGGGCTTTTTAGCTCCGCCGGCATACTTTGATATACGTTTTGGAGCCGATTCGATATCGATCGCGGCGGAATGCCGTTGACAGTGAAATGGGTTATACAATTAATAAAACTCTGTGGTGTTCGGGACAAGTGTTCAAATGTTCTGCATTCTACGTTACGTATTGGAATTTAAAGCAAACACACCGATATATCTTACATAGCAAAGCTTTACTCACAAAACGTGCGTACCTACACTGTAATTAGCGGCCCAAATAAAAAAAAATATTTCACTCGTAAAATTTACGACTTTTGCCAGCCATTTCAGTGTTTGAAAAGCGAAAGTAATTCGCTCATAAAATTACGAGTAAACAGTCGTTTTTCGATGGAAATAAAAGCGCCCCTACTGATGGTTGACTTCTGTAATCGGCTTAGCTCGAACCCCTCGATTTAGGCGCTGGTCTCCCTCGGGACCCTAGTGTGATGCAGCGCCTGTTAAAGCCTGATGAGAAAATCTTATCTGCAGATTATAAAATTGGTTTCGCGTAATTGACTCATAAAATTCGGACCTGGGTTTAGATTGCATTCGGATTAATCGCTGCGTGTCGTCATGTTTATTTATTATACTAACATATTGGAATTGGAAAAAAGGTACATGAAACGAATGTTTGGGATACCACATTGTGGTTAAATTATATATATAAAATAAAACGGAATCCTTTGGCAATGTCATAAACAGAGCTCAAGTTGAGGAGGTCCCATGACAGTGAGAAAAAGTGGTGCCCGTTTGCTGGGCTAATATGGCGAGCTTTAATCTCATTCTGGCACAAAGGAGCTGCCATGACGCGGCGAATATTGACGCAAACCATTTAATATTTAGGTATTCCAATATGCAGACGTACAGATGAGTACAACATGATTAAACGAACACATATTTAAAAAATGTGGTATTGTTTTAAATAATTATTTTGAGATATAAAACAATGATATTATATCATCATCATCATCGTTACTCCTAAGCTTAGACCTGAACTTCTTGAAAGTATCGACCTTCTGCATGTCTTAAAGATCGCCACTCCATTCAGTCGGGGTCGCGCTAAATTCAGCTAGTTAGCCTATACGCTCTTAAAGTTTCATCTGACACAGTACTCGCGGCCTGAAAGGCTTCTTGCCAGTACGAAGCTGAAACTCTAGAATCTTTATTCCCCCTGTTGAGTCCAAATCGGCTGGGCGGCGTCCGGGAGAAACATCTGCTTATCACGTTTTACAATCATAACGAATACCTACAATGAAAATTTTTACAATTTTTAATTTATCATTCACAATTTTACCGTTTATTTTGTCTCTTTGGAAACTTTAAAATTTTCTTGGTTAATAAAACTTTAAATATAAAAATGCGGCTACAGTGACATTGTTATTATCATTAAGCAACCTCGTGCCTGACGATACACCGCTGGCCGACATCGCCTAGTCACTTGTGATATTAAGCTTGATAATACGTCGATACGACCACGATAATCTTTACCAGCATTCGATTCTAGTTACCAAGAATCGGACACAATCGTACCGGATAGTTCGCCTAATATTCCGAACTCGATAGTATTTTCCCGGCCGATATGACATGACAAATTAATGGATTTATTACGAGCGGGATTGCGCGCTTCTCTTTTTGTTCTCGCGTCGGGTTAGGACGAATGCATTTTTAATTGAGTGAGGCACTTTTGTGGACTGTATAAAACGGCCACCGCATGCCTGGAATATTTTTTGTTTGATTGACGGGTAGTAATGGGCAGGTGCGTAAGAGGGCCCGACGATAGCTACTTCGCTTTTTCACCCCGCTTCCCCGGTGTTCACTTTTTGTTTGTCGCATCGTTTTGCCGATTCAGTTTTGTTGTAACGTGATTGTTTTACAAAGTTTTGATGAAGTTCATGTGTTCATCGCGTTCTTTTATTTTTTCAATCAATTTTTGATTGAAAATTAATGACAAATTAGTTTAAACCGAGCAAAGTCAGACTAACATTTAGGCAAAGAGATTTAAATATATAGGTACGACTACTTAAATGTATTTGCATTTAGGTATCTACTTGTTAACAATCTACTTATAATAATTATCAAATTAAGTGGATCATTTTACGATAATAACAACTAAATCTTAGTCTTATTAAAAAAAAAACCTTCAGTTTTTTCCAAATCCAAAACTTTAGGTACCTAGTATTTTCATATAAAAAAAAAACTATATCTAACTCATTTTGACAGCAGGTAGGTACACTGTTTACTTTCCTAAGAGCTGGGCCTAAGAGGATACAAGTAGTGCCATCTATGTGAAACAAAAGGTATTACATTAATTTCGCGTGTTATAATCCTTTACCTTTTCTAAAGAAATAATAATGAATGTGTTTTTTGTCATATTAGAGTAGAAATTTTTGAAAAAGGCACGATAATGCTGTTGCTTCAATAACAACGATGTACTTTGACATAGGTACTTATTAAAAACCGTTTTCAAAAAATAATCTCTGTATATAAAAATAAAAATCAATTGCTGTCCGTTAGTCTCGCTAAAACTCGAAAATGGTTTGACCGATTTTGATTCATTATTTTGTGTGTGATTCCTAAATGGTTTAGATTTACAGTTAGACACTGCTGATGGCGCTGTTGTCAAGATCCAGAAATCACCCGCGCGAATCACTAGTTAGAAATATTCATTAAAAGAGCAGTTCTAAAATAGATATTATTTTTCTTAAGAAAAAAAAACTAGTTATTGTTATATATATAAGCGACATAATGTGAAGCTAAAAATCTTTTTGTCTTAACTGTTACATATTCAGATATTCCAATTTTTGATTAAAAATATAATCTCAAAAATATATAACTTAAATTAACTGTGTTAATTTGGTCATTTGTTTTTTCTTTTGCAGTCGCTGCAGAGTGCAGCTCGGCGGGCAGGCACCTCATGCGCCAACTGTAAGACGACCACCACCACTCTATGGCGACGCAATCAGAACGGCGAGCCGGTCTGTAACGCCTGCGGCCTCTACTACAAACTGCACAACGTTAGTACAATATACTTATAATTCAAGTACAACCTAATAAACGCTGTTGAAAGCCACTAAATATCAGACAGTTTGCTAAATGGCAACCGGTATTTTCAGTTCTGTCCGAAGTACAAATATAGTTTCACATTTTTAGCGGCTTATAATAAACTGTTTAAAAATGATGTGTAAAGGTATTTATTATTACAGTGATATTAAGTAAATAGTTGCTTTTTGCTATATTAACTTATGTGCAATACAAACGTAATAGTCAATGGATGAAGTTAAGGTTTTACATGGTAGAGTCGCGCTGCAGCTATATTTTGGTTACAGTAATAATGTACGTTACACAATTAACCACACAAAATAAATTAGAAATAGCTTGGTGGCGATTCCCAGACGTTATTTTCATTCATGTATTCCTTGATATTATTATAACCCTTTTTGTACAATTTTTCATTAATAAAACTTTTAAACTTGTTTATTGACAAACTTTGAACCTGTTCTGGGATTTTGTTGTAAAAGCGTATACATTGTCCCATAAACTGATTCTAATTATAAGATTATAAATCTTAACATAAAATTCTGTGGAGTCTAGCAGCTGGTATTACAAGCTTATGTTTGTTGTTCCTAGTGTTTAAAGTATGAAAATCTTTATTATTATCAAAGCTATTTATGTTTTTATCTACATACATTACATTTTCGTGAATATATTGCGATGCCAAAGTTAATATGTTTATTTCTTTAAAATTTTCTCTGAGGGACTCTTTACAATTTAAGTCACAAGTCACCCGTACGGCTCTCTTTTGCAAAACAAATATAGCTTCAATGTCAGTCGCATTACTCCATAGCAAAATTCCATAAGACATCACGGTATGAAAATAACTAAAATAAACTAATCTAGCTGTTTCAATATTGGTGAGACTTCTAATATTTCTTACAGCATATGCTGCAGAACTAAGTCTGCCTATATACATATATGGGGGCCCCATTGAATCTAGAAACTACAACGCTTTCACAGAATACCAGTGTAAAATAGTAGCTCAATGCTGCTATGTTTTATATGATATATATGATGGTAAATATGATGAGAACTGGAGCCCAATTTATTAGTATAGGGAAATTCCATTTTAATCACCAGTTTTCATGGTCATGGTTGACAAAGTAGTTGCATTTTAAATTTTTCATCGAGGATTAATGTTCATGTGTGTGGGCCACGGCACGGCATTCACTTACCATATTACAGATTGCATGCTCGTTTGATACCCTTACTTGTGGAAAATGCCCGGTACGATCTTTGAATACCGTGTGATTACTTTACTTTTAAACTTGTACTACATTCTCAATGACATTATTTCGTGCGTGATACTTTAATGAAACCCACTTTAAGCTTAAGAGTAAATGCTTACATAAACTTAATGGAATAACAATTATAATACAAACAGTTAACGAAATCAATAAGAAAATTATAATGACACAACCACTTTTAGTTACAGTTTACATATGTATATCAAAAATAATTTAGTAGCCGTACTTATCGATTCACTATGTCGTTAACATAATGCTACTCATTTTTATGACTATAATCATTACATTTCATATCGATGCTCTGATTATTTTCGTGAATATTTTTTCCAATTTGGAAGCGTTCATCAAAAATCATATCTCTATCGTTATTTCAGTAAAAAGATTAAATTTAGAGGGCATTAAAACTGTCTACTAAAATCCTCGTATATAATAACGGTGTCCTTAGGGAGAGGTTCCCTTAGGATGAATCGGCAGTATCTTGGTGACAGATAACCCGGTTCGTCGGCCTCGCCCCCTAACACCATTTAATGTGTCATAACACCCAACGCAATTGTCCCGGGAGAGTTACATTTGGCGATAATAACATCGCGTTATCTTTAGTAATAATTATAATCCAATATTAAATAGTAGTAATAGAACTTTGGGACTGCACAATTAATTATATTTTTATATATAATCCTAGGGTTGCATAAACATATGTGTGATTCTTCCACGTAAACTTAAAATTTTGTTCGATTTCATTTTTTTATTTCTGTTTAACTGGTGCAAGCGTGACAAACTTTCACACTGTTCCAACTTTAAGTAGAGGCTGTAGCTGATAAACACATTTATTTTTTTACAATTAAGAATCAAAATGGAAATTCATTATCACCTCTAAAAACTAAGAATACTTCGATACTAGTAAAAAAAAAAAACTCATTTTCCGTTACTTACTCATACCATACAAAACATAGCATCATTTTATTGCTATTTCACGCTATAATATTCTATTAAAGGTGTGTCTTTAATTGTTAAATTAATTTAATACTGTATTATAACGTAGTAATAAAAATGATCGTAATATCACAGTCTAACTTAAGTTCTTTTTAGACTAGACTAGTTGTAATGTAAGTACTGTGTCTTGGTTGATTTTCAACTACGGCATCTATTTTTGAATTATGGGAAGGAATCTTCGCACAAAGCGGAGGGGTCCGTCAGAATAATGTTAGGATGCAGCGTCAGAATTATCTATCATGAGCAACTAGATCTGAAAAAAGTACATTTGTATTTTTGCACCGATGTTTCGATCCTAATATCTCTATTGATGCGATTTTAATGATGAGCGTGATTAAGTATTTTGAACACTAGGCCAAAGTCGTTATAGTAAAAATATCGTAAATTTAAAATTTATTAATATTTAAAATTAGCTGAAAATATAACTAAGTTAAATCTTAGCACAGGTTTCTTAATTAAAATTATTGTAAATTCATAAGCCATCGAAGAATTAAGTGCAATTTCTCACGACTCTCGCAACCCCGATTTGCAAAAAAAAAAAAACAATCGACAAAACCCTTATGCAATCTCCGCTAGCGATACATTCGTAAAAGAACAAACATTACGGAACGAGAGTGCACAATGACAAAAATTAACAGTCAAAGAGACCCTTCGGAGTGGGCTCTCGAGATTTTTTTCTCTTGAAATGTATACTTTATTGCCGTTCAAAGTATCGACGCAACAATGTTGTTTGGTCTAATTATTCGGAAGGAGCGACAATAGTTCGAAGGGTGTGCCTGCTACTTTACAAGTTGATGGTATAATGACGGGAGCACAATACGGGAATACGTCGGTAGCGACGTCGACAGACGTGCCCGCCTCTCATACATATTTATACATTTCTTTGTACTTAGTTACACATTTAAAATCAAATGATGTCGGAGTTCAAAACCCAGCTAGAGACACATTTGTGTAAAACATAGGTTTTACAGTTATGGGTGAGATAGCCCAGTGACTCTTACAGTGTATCCCAACTAGGCTTGCCAACTCCAAAAAAGGCATTTCCGGGACTATCCAGCTCGACATCCGGGACTTGGGTATAATACGCGGGACACAACACACCACATACAAATTGGTTAAACAAGCAAAAACACATTGGTTATAAAATTCACTGCATTTTTGATCAATATTAATGTCAATTTGTAGTTCAGCCTTGACGTGTTCAACAAACAGCTTATTTCTGCTGTCTATCCATACATTTTCATACAGAGAAAACACTCTTTCTGCTGATGCATTTGAAAGTGGTATCGAAGCTACGGCTAAGGTGTAGTTGGTACGAGATAGATACTAATTTCATATAATCACCGATTTCCGGGACAAAAGGCGTCCCGCAAGGGGTTAAGGCGGGATGGTCTAAAATTTACCCAGAAGCGGGACGTCCCGGAAAATCCGAGACGGTTGGCAAGCTTAATCGTAACCTACCCTCGATGGACTAAGTGTTACGTTTTTGTTACATTGTCTCAGTGCAGTCAGTGCTCCGAGCGTATGCGGCTTAAGAGGATCCTTCAGCCCATTTCGTCTTGAAGTGATTGCTGTGGCCCATAGACATTACATCTATCTTGGATTAGCAATCAAAGTGCAGATGCGTTTGCACCCTTAAGGACTAAGATGTAATGCTTCGACGACATTAAAAAGGTTCTCCGGTTCTCTACACTCACCATACGAAATACAGCAGCATTATTTTGCTGCTTCAGGCTGGTATTCTCTAGAACTGCGATGGTCCAACCCCATTCGAGTCGGCTCATTCGTGCGGCAACATTAATATAGCTGCAGCGTGGCTCTACTACGTACGTATATACCTTTGCGATCCTAAGGTCTGAGTGTGCGATATATTTTAAAAATTTTGTTTTGTACGTGGTAGAGCCATGCTGCAGCTATATTATGTATAGCTGTATTAGTAGTATAGCTGTAGCACGAATGGGTCGGCTCGACCGGGGAGGGACCACGCTCTCACAGAATACCAGCGTAAAATAGCAGCTTAACACTGCTGTGTTTCGTATGGTGAGTGTAGAGAACCGGAGACCCTTTTTACTGGAAAACAGGCATTCCAGCTTAGTCCTCACGGGTGACAACGCATCTGCATTTTGATTCGCAAACGAAGATAGATGTAGATGTCTATGGGCCACAGCAACCACTTACCATCAGGTGTACTGTGTGCTCGTTTGTCACCTTATCCTATAAAAAATATTGTTTTTATAATTTAAAATTAAAAATTTTGTACAACCGACTTCAATATAAATTATTAAGCATAATTTAAAAACTATTAGTCAGACCTTGATCAAATTAAATGGGATTACATGTGAAGCACCAGCTTTCAAAAAAAAAAATCATCGAAATCGGTTCACCAAGTAAAAAGCATTGAGGTAACACACATAAAAAAACATACGCTCGGATTGATTACCGGCTCCTTTTTGAAGTCGGTAGAATAAAGACCAACCACAGCTAGTGGCAGTTAATTTACTGATCCTATGCACTTTTTAATAAAAAAAATATATAAAAAAATCAATCGCAATAAACTACTAGTATCTACTACGTACTAAAATCGAACGATTTAAATTTCATAATATACAACCATTAAACTTTTATGTTGAATGCTTAAAATAGTGTTTAACTTGATCTGTTTAAAGAAAAAAATTAAAAAAATTGTGTAAAATAATACAGTATAATTCGGCAGGGCTAAA